CCCCGGGCAGCGGGACGGGGAGGGACCCGTGTGCCCAAAGGCCCCGGCCGGGCGCAGCGAGTCTGGACAGGGTACCTGAGCCATGGGCGAGCACCGCGAGGAGGAGAGGGGCCCAGGCCATGGCGCGATCCCACCAGCTCTGCGTCCCCACGCCGATGGGGCTGTGTCGCGGACCCCAACTCCCTTTTAAGCCCCCCCCCGCCCGGAGCACGGCCCCTCCATGCAAATCTGACCCCGCGCTCAGGGCCGGATCCTGCCTGGACCGCCCAGAGCAGAGGGGCTGGGACAGCACCAGCTGCAGACAGCTCTGGGCACGTGGCATGGGGCAGCAGCAACGCCCTTCTGCCCCCCAGCCCCAGACGTCGGGACAGATCCCCCCATTCCCGCCCTCCTTCCCTCAGGTCCAGCTGCAGCCTTTCCCCCTGCCCGGCCGATCTCCTCGGTCATGGCCTTGAGTGAGCAGAGGAGCTGGTGCCCAGCCCCGCGCCTTCGAGCTCTGCCCCACAGCCCAGTGCCCTCCGGATGGGCTCAGGCCTCTCATGGGCAACCCCCAGGGCTCGTCACGGTGCCTGTGAGGCAGCCCCAGCGGGCAGGGTCCCTGGGCATGGAGCTGCAAGCTCCCCAGCCTGCAGCCCTTAGACTGTCAGCTGCCCAGGCTTTCCACCAGCAGGAGTTTGCTCCCCAAAACTCCTCATCCCAGGGTTTGAAGGTGAAGCTTTGTCCTGGCCCCTCGGCCAGCAGCATAGTTCTGCCCATCCATGAGGGGGCCGAGGTTTCAGCAGGCTGAAGTCCCCCACGGTGATGCCCAGGAGCAGGGCAAAGACCTCGCTGCGGGCAGGTCCTGCCTGAGCACGGCCAGGCGTCCCCCACCTGCAGCCCAGGCCAGCTGGGCTCCCCCAGCCTGCACCCAGCTGCGCCAGCCAGCCTGCACCCATGGCACCACCTACGGCTCCTCGGCCCACGTGTCCCCCGGCCAGGCCTCGAACGTCCGCAGCACAAGGGCCTCTGCAACGGCCCAGCGGAGCCACACTCCCTCCCCGCTGCATGGCTCCTGCCGGAGCCCTTTGGCTGCAGGAGCCATCAGACATTTCCCTGCCGGTGCTCGCACGGAGCCGTGCCAGCTGGACACCTCCAGGCCAGGGAGAAGCCCGCCAGCAGCCACAGCGCCTCACCGCAGCCCCAGGGGAAGGTGAAAGGGCAGTGGGGAGCAGGTGCCAGTGACGAGGGGGGCCTGGTGCAGCGAGGGACAGGGACAGGAGCAGGGCTGCTGGCAGTCATCCCCTCCCCAGATGACAGGGGACAGGCACA